GCAATTGATTTTACGCACCTGAGGGAGTAAAATCCACGTTCCTGGAGAAAGGTTTGCTCCTGCTCTGCTCGGCCTCTTTGGGAATTCCAGGATCTTTGGGAATTCCAGGATCTTTAGAAATTCCAGGATCTTTGGGAATTCCAGGATCTTTAGAAATTCCAGGATCTTTAGAAATTCCAGGATCTTTGGAAATTCCAGGATCTTTAGAAATACCACAATTTTTAGAAATACCACAATTTTTAGAAATTCCATGATTTTTAGAAATTCCAGAATCTTTGGACATTCCGGGGTCTTTCGAAATTCCAGAATCTTTTGAAATTCCAAACTCGCTGGATATTACAGGATCCTTAGAAATTCCAGAATCCTTGGAAATCCCAAACCCCTTGGAAATTCCCGAATCCTTAGAAATTCCAAACTCCTTGGTCAATCCAGGTTCCTTGGACATTCCAGAATCCTTGAACATTCCAGGTTCCTTGGAAATTCCCGTCTCCTTACCAATCCCAGAATCCTTTGGAGTTCCATAATCGTTAGAAATCCCAGAATCCCTGATAATTCCAAAATCCTTAGAAATTCCTGGTTCCTTTGCAATCCCAGAATCCTTCACAATCCCAGAATCCTTGAACATTCCCGTCTCCTTAGCAATCCCAGAATCCTTTGCAATTGCAGTATCCTTTGCAATCCCAGAATCCTTTGCAATCCCAGGATCTTTAGCAATCCCAGAATCCTTTGCAATCCCAGAATCCTTTGCAATCCCAGGATCCTTGAACATTCCCGGTTCCTTTGCAATCCCAGAATCTTTAGCAATCCCAGGATCCTTTGCAATCCCAGAATCCCTCGCAACCCCAGAGTCCTTAGCAATCCCAGAATCCTTTGCGCTCCCAGAATCCTTTGCAGTCCCAGAATCCTTGAACATTCCCATCTCTTTAGGTATCCCAGGATCCTTCGCAATCCCAGAATCCTTGATCATTCCTGTCTCCTTTGCACTCCCAGAATCCCTCGCAATCCCAGGATCCTTTGCGTTCCCAGAATCCTTTGCGCTCCCAAAATCTTTTGCAATCCCAGGATCCCTGGCACTCCCAGAATCCTTTGCGCTCGCAGGATCCCTTGCGCTCCCAGAATCCTTTGCGTTCCCAGAATCTTTTCCAATCCCAGAATCCTTCGCAATCCCAGAATCCTTGAACATTCCTGTCTCCTTTGCGCTCCCCGAATCCCTCGCACTCCCAGAATCCTTTGCGCTCCCCGAATCCCTGGTGCTCCCAGAATCCTTTGCGCTCGCAGGATCCCTCGCACTCCCAGAATCCTTTGCGCTTGCAGGATCCCTCACACTCCCAGAATCCCTTGCACTCCCCGGCTCTCTCCCGTCGTGCAGCGCGGTTGGTTCAGGCTGAGCCAGGCTCGGGGGCAGCTCCTGACAATCCCTGGGTTTGTACAGTTTGTTCTCACACACCTGAAAAGGAACCCAAGGACACCGTTATTATTATTATTAATTATTATTATTATTATCATTATTATTATAGTTATTATTGTCATTATTATCACTGTTATGGACAGGTTTGCGTCTTTTCACACAGTGGCCACATCAGCATCTTCCACTCAAAAATACTGTTGTTGTTGTTATTATTAATAATTTTATTATTATTATTATTATTATTATTACTATTATTATCATTATTATTATCATCATCATTATTATTATCATTATTATTATTGTCATTATTATCATGGACAGGTTTGGGTCTTTTCACACAGCGGCCATGCCAGCAAATCCCACTCAAAAATACTGTTGTTGTTGCTATTATTATTATTATTATTATTATTATTACTACTATTATTACTATTATTATTATTATTGTTATTATTATTATGCACAGGTTTGGGGCTTTTCACACAGTGGCCATGCCAGCAAATCCCACTCAAAATAATAACAATCACAATAATAATGATAATGATAATGATGATAATAATAATAATAATAATAATAATAATAATAATAATAATAATAATAATAATAATAATAATAATATCCCTTCTGACCTTGTTTCTGCAGCGGCTGCAGCTCCTCCATTTTAAAAATAACAATAATAATAAAATAATAATAATAATAATAATAATAATAATAATAATCTGACCTTGTTTCCGCAGTGGCTGCAGCTCCTCCGTTTGTTTTTCTTCAGGCGGAGCTCGGCGCTGCTGCTGCTGCCATCGGGACAGGAACAGGGACAGGAGCCATCCCTGACAGCCTCGGGCCACTCCACATCCTGAAAATACACAAAATCATCCCAAAAATATAAAATATAATGATAAAAATATAAAAAAATTGATAAAAACACAGAAAATCCGGAGAAAATCCTGAGGAAATAGAGAAAATGGTGACAGGAACAGGGACAGGAACCATCCCTGACAGCCTCGGGCCACTCCACATCCTGAAAATACACAAAATAATCCCAAAAATATACAATATAATGATAAAAATATAGAAAATAATGATAAAAATACAGAAAATCCGGAGAAAATAGAGAAAATCCTGATAAAATACAGAAAATACTGACAGAACAGGGACAGGAACTATCCCTGACAGCCTCGGGCCACTCCACATCCTGAAAATACACAAAATAATCCCAAAAATATAAAAAATTATCTTAAAAATAAAAAAAATCCTGAAAAAAAAATGAAAAGATCTGGAGAAAATCCTGAGAAAATCGAGAAAATGGTGACAGGAACAGGGATAGGAACCAATTTCCTCAGGATTTCCCAAATTTTTTGGGATTTTTTTTAGGATTTCCCGTATTTTTTAGGATTTCCTCAGGATTTCCCAGATTTTTTTTGGGATTTCCCACGATTTCCCATGATTTTTTTTACAATTTTTTTAGGATTTCCCAAGGAATTTTTTTTAGGATTTCCCAGAGAATTTTTTTTAGGATTTCCCATATGTTTTAGGATCTTTTCCAGGATTTCCCCTATTTTTTGGGGGATTCCAGCCCCACCTTGTCGTGGCTCTGCCCTCCCATCTCTTTCCTCTTTTTGCTTTTGGTGGCTCCGTGGATTTTGGGCGCTTCCTCCTCCTCYTCCACATCGGGCAGAGAAACCTCTTCAAACCCATCAAACTGAAAAAAAAAACCAAAAAAAAAGAGGATTTTAACACAATTTTCCCCAAAGTCTGCTCAAAAAATGGGAATTTTGCTTCAGCTCCAGCACCTCTCCCATCCCACTGCTTCCCCATCCCTAAAATTTGAATTTTTCCCATTCCACCCTGGTTTAATTTGATTKTTTTCCCATTCCAACCTGGTTTTTTTTCCCTCAAATTTGATTTTTTCCTGTTCCACCATGGTTTAATTCAATTTCTTCCTTCTCCAACCTGGTTTAATTTGTTTTTTTCCCATTCCACCGTGATTTAATTCAATTCTTTCCCATTCCACCCTGGTTTAATTCAATTTTTTCCCTCTCCACTGTGGTTTAATTTGATTGTTTTCCATTCTAACTTGGTTTAATTTGAGTTTTTCCCTGATTTAATTTGATTTTTTCCCATTCCACCACTCTTTAATTCAATTTTTTCCCCATTCCACTCTAATTTAATTTGATTTTCCCCCCCTCCCCACCTCGTAGTCCTTCTCCTCGCTCCAGTGGATCTCCTCAAAACTCCTAATTCGAGTTTTTCTCCGGTTTAATTCAATTTTCCCTCTCTCCAATCTAATTTAATCCAATTTTTCCCCTCTCCACTGTAATTTAATCCAATTTTTTTCCCTTTCCACTGTAATTTAATCCAATTTCCCCTCTCCTCACCTTGTAGTCCTTCTCCTCGCTCCAGTTGATCTCCTCAAAACTCCTAATTTGAGTTTTTCCCTGGTTTAATTCCATTTCTCCCCATTCCACCCTGGTTTAATTCAAGTTTTTCCCTCTCCACCCTGGTTTAATTCGACTTCTTCCCGTTCCAACCTGGTTTAATTTGTTTTTTTCCCTTTCCACTGTGGTTTACTTCAATTTTTTCTCTTGCCACTGTAATTTAATTCAATTTTTTCCCATTCCACCGTGGTTTAATTTGAGTTTTTCCCTGGTTTAATTCAATTTTTTCCCATTCCACTGTAATTTAATTTAATTTTTCCCCTCTCCACTGTATTTTTTCCCTCTCAACTGTAATTTAATTCATTTTTTCCCCATTCCACCCATATTTAATCCAATTTCCCCCCTGCTGACCTCGTAGTCCTTCTCCTCGCTCCAGTGGATCTCCTCGAAGTCGCCCATGCGCGCGGCCGAGGGTCGCAGGTGATCGAAGAACACCGAGAACTCGTCCTGCAGGTGCGAGTGACCCTTCAGCAGCGGCCACACCTGCGCCTTCAGCTGGGGAAGAGAGAGAGAAAATGGGGAAAATCAGAATTATTTGGGAAAAATGGGTTTGTTTGGGGGAAAATCGGATTTGTTTGGGGGAAAATCGGATTTGTTTGGGGAAAAAAGAGCTTAATTTGGGGAAAATCGGCTTTGTCTGGGGAAAAAACAGCCTCAATTTGTAGCCTCGGAAGGATTCTCACAGGAGAATGTATTACTATTATTATTATTATTAGTAGTATTAGTATTATTAGTATTAGTATTATTATTATTATTTTTTACTATTACCATTATTAATTTTACTATTATTGCTATTATTATGACTATCATCATCATCATCATTAATAGGGACAGGGATGAGACAGTGACAGAGGGGTCACCTCGGCGATGTTCTGGGGCATGACAGGGACAGAGGGTGACAGTGACAATGACACAATGACAATGACAATGACAATGACAGAGGGGTGACAATGACAATGACAATGACAATGTCACCTCAGCAGTGTCCTGTGTCCCCGTGTCCCCGCAGCCCTGCAGTGACACTGACAGTGACAGTGACAATGACAATGACACAATGACAATGACAATGACAATGTCACCTCAGCAGTGTCCTGTGTCCCCGTGTCCCCGCAGCCCTGCAGTGACACTGACACAATGACAATGACACAATGACAATGACAATGACAATGTCACCTCAGCAGTGTCCTGTGTCCCCGTGTCCCCACAGCCCTGCAGTGACACTGACAGTGACACAATGACAGTGACAATGACAATGACACAATGACACAATGACAATGACAATGTCCCCTCGGCCGTGTCCTGTGTCCCCGTGTCCCCGCAGCCCTGCAGTGACACTGACAGTGACAATGACACAATGACACAATAACAATGACACAATGACAATGACACAATGACAATGACACAGTGACAATGACAATGACAATGACACAATGACAATGACAATGACAATGTCACCTCAGCAGTGTCCTGTGTCCCCGTGTCCCCACAGCCCTGCAGGGCCCGGATGATTCTCTGGTGCTGGGCCGGGTTCTCAGCGAAGCAAATCTCCAACTGCCGCAGGAACTTGCGGCTCTTCTCGAACGCCTGCTGCTCCTCAAACTGCAAATTAAAATATTATTAATTCAAAATTGGAAATTATTGTGAAAGGTTACTGCTCCTCGAACTGCAAAACAAAGCAAAAAAGGGTTTTTAAAGGTTTGATGCTCCTCATATGGGAAAAAGAAACAGATTTTTAAAGTTTGGTGATTCTCAAACTGGGAAAAGAACGATTTTTAAGGGCCTGATGCTCCTCAAACTGGCCAAAAAGAGAGATTTCTAAAGTTTGCTGCTCCACAAACTGGGGAAAAAATAGATTTTCCAAGGTTTGCTGCTCTCCAAGCTTTTGCTTCCCAAAACCCTTAATTTCACCCAAATTCCACCATTTTTTTCCACCTACCAGGCCACACTCCAGCATCTGCTCTTTGAGGGGCGGAGGCGCAAAAGCTTTTCCCTCCACAATCCCTCACTTTTCCCCAAATTCAGTGGTTTTTTTAATCTAAACCTGCTGGTTTTTTTCCCCATAAACCTTGATGGCTTTTTTTCCACAAACCACAATATTTTTTCCCTCATTTCACCCAAATTCCACCATTTTTTTCCACCTACCAGGCTGCACCACAGCACCTGTTCCATGAGGAGCTGAGGCGCAAAAGCTTTTCCCTCCACAATCCCTCATTTTTCCCCAACTTCAGTGGTTTTTTTTTTCCCAAACCCAGTGCTGTTTTTGCTCCAAATCCTGATATTTTTTCCTTCATTTCACCCAAATTCCACCATTTTTTTCCACCAACCAAACCACACTCCAGCACCTCTCCATCCGCCGCTGGGTCCACAATCTTCCCCCTCCACAATCCCTCATTTTTATCCAAACCCCGATGGTTTTTCTACCCAAACCCCAATGTTTTTTTTTCCCTAAACCCCAGTGTTTTTTTTTTACCCAAACCCCAGTATTTTTTCCCTAATTTTCACCAAATTCCACCATTTTTTCCACCAACCAAACCACACTCCAGCGCCTCTCCATCCACCGCTGGGCCCACAATCTTCCCGCTCCCACAACCCTTCATTTTACCCAAACTTTGATATTTTTCCCCTCATTTTCCCCATTTTTCACCCACCAGRCCACACTCCAGGGCCTGCTCGGGCAGCAGGAAGGCAGCGAAATCCGTCAGGAGCTGAGGCCACCGGTGCAGCAGCCSCTGCAGAGCCCGGAACAGATCCACGGCCGAGCACCGCTCCCAACATAATCCCTCATTTTACACAAACCCCGGGGGGGGCTTTTTGTACCCAAATCCCAATGGTTTTTTTACCCCAAACCCCTGTGGGTTTTTTTCCTGAAAACCCACCATTTTTACCGTAATTTCACCCAAATTCCACCATTTTTTTCCACCTACCAGGCCACACTCCAGCACCCGCTCTGTGAGGAGCTGAGGCGCAAAAGCTTTTCCCTCCACAATCCCTCATTTTTCCCCAACTTCTGTGTTTTTTTTTACCCGAACCTGGTGATTTTTTTTCCCTTAAACCTTGATGGTCTTTTTGCTCCAAACCCTGATATTTTATCCCTCATTTCCACCCAAATTCCACCATTTTTTTCCACCAACCAGGGCACACTCCAGCACCTCTCCATCAGCAGCTGAGGCGCACAATCTTCCCCCTCTACAATTCCTCACTTTTATCGAACCCTGGTGATTTTTTTCCACAAATCCCAATATTTTTTCTTCATTTCACCCAAATTCCACCATTTTTTTCCACCAACCAGGCCACACTCCAGTGCTTCTCCATCCACAACTGAGGCCCAAAATCTTCCTGCTTCACATTCCCTCATTTTTACCCAAATCCCACCATTTTTT